CTATGTAAACAAGGAAACATTGTAATTCGTTATATCGAGGTAGATTTTACGTTTGGGCTTCCGGATTATGTTCGTTATATCGAAGAATTCGTTTCATCGAGGTTCGTTATATCGAAGTTCTATTCCATAAATTTTACTGTAACTTTGGCCGGGACATAGAATATCGTTCGTTATATTGAGAACTTCGTTAAATAGAGGTTGGTTAAATTGAGGTTCCACTGTAGCATTCAAATTCATCGTTACAACACCAGATGTTGTCAACTGGCTTCCACCATGGTGCAAATTTGACAAGTGGCCCAAAATGAAATAATATTCAGCGGATCTGCTTTAAAGGATGACCTTAGCAGAGATGCGGCAGGCGTGAGGAAAACCAAGCTTATACGTACGATATGTTGTTGCATTTGGCTTCACGTGTTGTCTTTGGATCTGAAACAGATAAAGCAAAAAACTTTTGAGCTGTTTTACTCCAACTTGACTAAAAGCTTAAAATTCCAAAATGTACTTCTCTACATTTCCATTGCATTTGGCGATAGCATTCACATTCATCGTTACAGTACCTAAAATTGTACTTCACATGGAAAGAAACGTGAAAATAAGAAGCTCTAAATGATGGTAAAGATCGGGAAAGGGTGAGGCAGACTGCAGAGTAAATTCCCAACTAACTTGACAAATTTTAGCAAGGACAAGCAGAGAACAAATTACTGTAGAAACTTCAGCCTCTATCAGTCTTATCGAGCGCCATAGAGACAGACAGAGAGACACCGACAGACGGGCAGACAGACAGACAGACAGACAGACAGACAGACAGAAAAGACAGACAGACCGACCGACAGAAAACTATGTTATATGCACTTCCAGCCTGCTCTGTTATTACCTATTGGAGGCTTTTTGCATGTAGCGTGCTTCTTGTCTCTTGCTGAGTCTCTCTTCTCGTCGTCTCTGTGATGAGCGCCGCCTCTCTCTGTAACTTCTGAAGCTATTCTGAATGATGGCTGCCGCTCTCCTGCTTTTCTTGAATCTCTCGTGTTCTCGGTACGTGCGATACTGACTCTGGATGATCAAGGCTGCACGAGTCATTTTCTTGAATGAAATGTACTGTTTTGTTTAAAAAAAATACCACAAAAACGACATCAGTCGCTGGGTAATAGCGGCACTGAGTTCACACTGACACGGTGGTTTTCTAATTCACGCCCTGTATCAAGACCTTGTGCATCTATAGCCGTCACCAATCACAGCACAGATCTTTTCTTATACAATGTAATGTGGATTTCACGATTTTCCCGCGCTAGCCAAATGTCATCTGCCTTCCCGCGCCTGTCGCTGGCAACACGTTTTCTAGCGCCTGCCACTGGTTACACGTTTTCCAGCGCCTGTCGCTGGTTACACGTTTTCTAGCGCCTGTCGCTGGTTACACGTTTTCTAGCGCCTGTCGCTGGTTACACGTTTTCCAGCGCCTGTCGGGGGTTACACGGTTTCTAGCGCCTGTCGCTGGTTACACGTTTTCCCGCGCCTTTCGCTGGTTACACGTTTTTTAGCGCCTGTCGCTGGTTACACGCTGGTTACACGTTTCCCGCCAATGACACATTTCCGGCGCGTCCTGCCACAGATTTTTCCTATTGGTTCGTTACACACACTGCTATTGGCTCTGCGATTTAATTATATCATTCTGAATCCTGATTGAAAGCCTGCCCATGAGTCGCGCAGACCGGACGACGCCAAGGTCGCCCTACAATGGACTGTACAAGCACGTAGCCACTCACCTCTTTGTATCTGCGATACTGATGTTGGATCAAGATGGCGGCCTCTATCTCCTGTTGCTGTTGATGGCGTCTTGTCTGTTAACGCAAAGAAAGTAAACAAAAGTTAACAGGGAACAAACACAACAAGGGATTAGAGAAAAACACCAAGAACGTGAGGGTATTTTTCACCTTGTAATTTCTGTAAGCATTCTGGATAATCTTAGCTGCTTCATAAAGCTCCCACTGCTCTCGATCTGTAAATAATTCAAAGAAAACAATTCAGGACAAGTGTTCCTTTGCTACGTAACCTTGGTTACTCGCTGTCTCAAGCCGACATTTCCTGTAGAAACCACTGAATGTTTTAATCGGTATAAGTCACATGGTTTAAAATTTTCAAGAACTCTGGAGTTTCATACAGAACACAAACCTGAAAAAGGTCAGCTCACCTGTCAACATAAGATCAGAGAAATCTCTTTCTAACAGCTTACGAGAGCTCGAGATAAACTCCTGAAATTCGGTGGTGTCTGGTCCAGCGGGAGAGGAATGGGGCGAGTTTAGGAAGCCGGGAGAACCTGGAGAGAGGGAAGACTTGGACGAGCAAGGCGTGAGAGGGGAGGACTGAGACGAGGCCGAGCTAAAGGTACGCAGCCTCATTGCGGCGCCCCAAACCCCGGATGTAACGAGTTCAGAATTCTCGTGTAGAGGGGATAAATGCCCGGATAATCGGTGATTTAGTTCTGCTTCCTGTTCGGCTGCATTGATCATAGAATGTATCTGCACCAGGGTTTTTGCCAAAGTATTAGCTGGTTTTCTGCTCAGTTGAGGTTCTTCTTCCTCATCGTCGTCCACGAACATCGGCGAACTAGCTCGGTCAGCCATGTTTGCATCCACAGGGGCCGGTAACAAAGGGCAAGTGTTAGGGGCCGCGGAAGATGGTTGAGGAGAGTCCTCGCACGATGAGGCCATTGGAGATGGTGTACCATCCGAATCATGGTCCACTCCGATGATCAAACGACTGCAGGGAAA